AGCTCGATGCCAGTTGTTTTCTCATCATACGGCCTTGTTTCAGTTTTAYGGGTCCAAAATTAGTTTTGAAAACAACAATCAACTTTTTTTCTAGTTGTCGTCAATTAAAACGTTCTTGATCCCAATACAAGTATTGCTTTTTATCTTATATTATTACTTGAATTCCTGTCAATAAAACGTTCTTCTTAGCAAGAATTAAACACTTTTACTTCTGGGCCCAGTTGTTCAAAACCCGATTAGTGYTAATCCTTGGTTAACTCTCAATAAGACCTATAGAGTTAATCCTTGATTAGCGCTAATCCAGCTTTGAACAACTGGGCCCTGAGCACTTTAAAACAATNTAGCATAATTAAACTTAAGTAAACATTAAGTTTACTTGCGTTTGGATATCAACATTAAATCCTATTAAATCCGGAAATTACAATAGAAATTAATTTGAATTTACTTGTAATTTACTTCTAAATTTACCATCAAATTTAAGATTAACAACAATGCAATTAAATCTGAAATTTACTTGAGCTTTAAAACATATTAAACCCCAAATGCGAAATTTACTTAGATTAAATACCATTAAATTCCAAAACTTGATATTTACATTGCAATTTACCATAAAGTTTAATTATGTAAATTCGATTTCTGATGCAGTGTCATCTGGTCCTGGTGCAAGACTAACACCAACAGCAGTGCCAGCTGTCAGATAACTATTACTGATGTCTTTGGTTGTGTGCAGTGAGTTCAAAGGGAACAAGCCCACTGGTTCAGGTACATCATCTAAATCAGAATTATGCTCATATCAGCTGTCAGATATAACTATAAATGATGTCTTTGGTTGTGTGCAGTGAGTTCAATGGGAATAAGCCGACTGGTTCACGAAATGCCGTCATTTTACTAAGCTTCCAAATGCTAAGCAAAAGATGAAGTGCGATCAAAATGATAACAATAAAAATTTGGGTTAGTAAAAGTTATTATTATGCAACTATTCAAGTTAGAGTACAAATAAGGCAGGAGAAAGATTAGAGCGAGACTCTAGATTATTTCGTACAGTAAAAAACCAGTTTTGAAAACTAGTTTTAGTTTCAAAGAATATTCGTTTTAAAGCCTTCTAGATCTTTTTTGGGGAAAAAGTTTGCTCATTTGGATAATGAATAACTTTTTATACATTAAATGGATTACGAGTCTTTGTAATTTGTCCCCAAAAAATATCCATTCGTGTTTCACCCTAAAATGTATAATAAGATCTATATATTCAACACAAAATCAATATTCAACACAAATTTTATCAAAAATATGTCGTTTATCGTAGCCATGACAACATCGCATTATTTCAATTCTTTTTCTTCTGATTATTTCCAGTCACGATTTCACTGGACTTTCGATTTTTTTATTTTATTTATTTATTTATTTATTTTTGAACTCTCACTGTATATGGACATATGGAATTCTTTTAAAAGAGCTTAATTTTTTAAATAATATTCTCTGTATTTTCCTTGTTTTGCTAACATTGCTTTGAATGGCAATTGAACATTCTTTTCACATATTCAATTACATTCACCTTCATAACTTATGCTGTGTGTTTAAATTATATAGGATTTACATCGCTAATTATAAATGTTAAAAGGTGTTAATTTAAAAAAAATGCAATCCCCACCCCCTTCCCCCCCAAAATTGTTGAGAAAACTCACCTTCGCAGAAGACAGAATTCAAAACCAATGTCAAAATCTGCAATTAAAAAAAAATGTTACTTTCTTTGAAGTCTTATTATTTTTTGTTGCAATCTGGTTTGTTGTTATTAAGTTCTCTATGCTCTTCGGATATATTACGCGACGATAAACGGCAAACGTCTTTAATTTATCGATCCTTCAGCGCGAAA